TGTTAAAAAAAAGCCAATTTCTACGTTAATGAGAAAAAAATACAATAACGTACAAGTTGTGTGTAACAGCCATCTCCGTAACATCCATCCCCCTATATATGGTACTTATTAAATCTCACATAAACTGTAATTGAAAATAATATTTTATACTAAAACAACAAAGTAACAATGATATATGAAGAAATAACGGAAATAAAGGACTGAAATGATGTATTTATATAAAAATTATTATTTGTGAACCAAATTCCTTATTTTTGAAGGAAAATCAGTTGTTGTTTTTTTGCTAAAAAAATAAAATATTTACTCTAAAATAAAGTTAATATGTTATTTTTAAACATCAAATGGGCCTATAAGTTTGTTAAAATAATAATTAAGCATATATGAATTTATGACAAATATAATCTTTTGTTATTCTGTGTTTTCAAACTAAGGGTACAGAAGGGGACGGATGTTACAGAAATGAACTATTGATACTTTTTTCAGTAATACTTAACTTATCTTGTTCTTATGATGCATGATAGAGAAGTAGTAAGTTTTGCAACTGTATAGGAATGTTTTATACAAAAATAAAATAGTATTAAAAAATAACTAGAAGAAGAAACAAACACAAAATCAAAAACAGGATATACAGAAGAGGTAGAGATGTTCAAAGTATCTTTTTGATTAAAATTAGTCATTTTTTAAAACATAAATTCTTGAGCCTTAAATATTTAAAAAAATCATCTTTCCCAGCCCCTAATATAACAGTGGGATATGAATCCTTACTATATACACACAGATGGGGCTGGCCTTTTTTGGGAAAGAAAACGATTTTGTATTTTGGGGTGTTATTTATAGGGGGAATGTGATATATTACAAAAAATAGGGGGCCAATAAGGGTGATTTACATTTTTGCGTAAAAAAGTAGGAGGAACTCCCATATCTGTAAGAGAAGGCATTGTATTAAGTAAGCTGTCGATCAATTAAGTCAAAGGATTTATTGAACATCATAATTTTACAGGCTAAAGATGTAGTCAATTAAAAGTTTAAACAAATACAGAAATATAATTCAATACCCTGATTAATTTTTTTTCTTCAAAATGGAAGCATATTTTCTTACCATTTGACCCATATAGTTATTACTAATAAAGTGGAAGAAAACTTAAGTAAAGGATATGGTTAGGATTCCTGTAATGAAAAAGTTGGGATTATTGTAAAAATTTGTCTGAACCCATCGCAAATTATTTTGAACCTATGAATTTTATTGAATGACAAACTATTCATTGTTAAGCAGTTCATTAAATATTTACACAGAGAATTAATAATTAAAAGTTAGAAATAATGAGCTGATGACACTGAATCATAATGAAATCTTTAGATAATGCTGCTGACATGCCACATTAATTTACATAAAATTTCACCAAATCGGTAATACTTATAGTTGCAACAATTTAAAATCTTTTTAATGAAAAATTTTAATTGTTGATAATTTATGTATTTAGTAATGACAAAGTCAAGCTTGCATATGTTTCAATCTGAAAACTTTTTATTTACTTCACACTGTATCATATCTTTTACAAATATAAATCTTATTATATAACAAAAGTATTTTGTAAATGATTTATTGCATAGAAAGGTATCGGTTGTATGACATTATTTCCTTAACACAGTGCTAATGCAATATCTTGAAACAAGGATTATTTTATTTCATTAGCAATATTCTTATTTTATTCCTAACATTTCAATGTTCATTCAAATGTAAGACATGTAAGATAACTGGAAGAAAACTAAGTCATTGCAGCTTTTCAAAGTGAAACGCAAAAAGTAAGAAACTCCATAATTGTCGGGTACATAATTTCTACATTTTTCTCAAATTTGTTCAATTATTTTACATTTATTACACTACATAAAGCATAATACTCTAAGAATTTTTTCTACTTGAAAATATAAACCAAAGCAAGTATTAACTAAGAGCTTAAAATATCTAGTATAACATTCGTCCCCCCCCCCAAAAAAAAAATGTAACATCCGTCGCCCTGATACGATTCATTTCTGGATTATCTGACAAGAAATATACATAAGAAAGTCCTATAATTTTTACTGTTTTATCAGAAATGTGTTTGCAAATTTGATTTAAGTATGATTTGATGTACCTATCCTTGTGTTTTTTTTACTTTGTATCTAACATGTTTGAAAATTTAATTTTGCGGGGTAAAAACTGACAATTTGAAAGCAAATATTTTTTTTATCCAAGATGAATTTTCTGAATAAGTTTTGTGACACTTATCAGAATACATAATGTATTAATAAAAAAGAGAGAAATAATACACTTTTAATTATAAATTTTAAGATATTCAGACTTCGATTATATCTTTGTAACATCCATCCCCTGCCCACAGCGTTCACATAAGATGTAGTATTTTGAAGAAAAAAAAGTATGAAAAAACTTATCCTTTGTTTCCAAAAATATTGGTACAGACATCCTAAGGTTCTTAAAATGCAAATATTTTCTAGACTTGTATGTTTAACTTTATTTTTTGACTTAGATGCTAACACAATTGGCCCATTTACTGTGCAACATGCAATAATTATTGTCAAACTACATTTCTTGTGAAATTAAATAGAAAGTTTGACAGTATCATCAACATACATGTATGAGATACATCTACTTTATGCCTTGCTGTATTCAGAAGGAAGTAACTTTTAACAGTTATTGGTGCATGAATTATGTGTGGTTAATAAAGGTGTGGTCTTGTGGCTTGTAACAACTTGGTTGTAAGTAAAAAAAGGTAAACTTGTTCAGACATTGCAGTGATCCACAGTGAATATACATACAAATGTATTAATTAAATCACTATATTCAGTGTAAATAATTGTTGCTATTCCTTACATGATAATTTCTATGTGGTATGAAATACATATGTAAATCCAACTGAGATTTACCTTTGCATGTTTAAAATTCATTGGTGATAGTATTCTATTTCACAAAAGTTCTACTGTCTTTATATCCTAGCACCCCCTTATAGCCTTAACTCCAAATATATTCAATATTTAACACAAAAAGGCTATTTAAGAACCATCTCAAGTCAGTAAATTTTTATCAACAATGTGAACAAACATTGACCTAGATTTTGACCTCTTGTTGTATTAAACTGGTGCAAAAATATCAAAAGTTATTAACTTTTCTAAGTCATCAATCAATAAAAGAAATATTGTTTCTTGTTGTTCAAGCTTATTTGTAGGTGAATAATAATTTCATTTGTCTATTAATTTTGAGTCATAAAAGTGGCTTGAAACTGTTTGTGTGTTGTTTATTTTCATACCATTTACATGTGTGGTTATTTCCAAGGTCAAGAAAAGGTCAAGGGAGTATTTTCCAAGTATCTTTAAGATCATACAATTTGGTTCTACTGATATTTGAATTTCCTTGACGTCATTGACTACCTGACTGAAACACATGACATTGTAGTTACGTAACTATTTTAGTTACAGGTGTCGTCTTTAATTAGGATAGTATATAGATTATCCGGCTTGTGTGTGCCCCGACAACTTTGACACTTTTGAGCGAAATTGTATACAAAACTAAGTGAAGAAAAATAAATTGAAGAAAGATAATTATTAAAATTAAGGTATTACGACCCTAATGGGCACTATAAGGAACTAAAAAATTGACATCATAGGTCAGATATATACCTTAAAGTACACCTGTATGCACATTTTCAACAAAGTTTACCGCACGGAAATCAAGTTATGGCCACTTTTGTGAACTCAAGCTAGGATGTTATGAGGGCCCTTGTTTTTTAGAAATGATTAACCTTTAAATAATCTGCAATAACATTCTATTGAAAAATAATTTCCCATTTATCTTTGGTAAGAATCAAATAGTACCATTGAGCTAACAATCCACATAAGCAAAATTATGGTTTCTACTTAAAATTTTTGAAATCTGTATAAAAATGTTACCCTACCCCACCCATTTTTACCACGTGTCTGACCATTTTCCTACTTAGGGAGCCTAATTTAAAAAATCCTTAAAATTTACCCAAATGAGTGACTGTTTTCAAAGTTTCCCTAATTTTTTAAAGAAGTATATTGGTTGATCTTGTAAAATATGAAATAGTTTTACTGTCTAGTTTTGATTATATTACACTACGAAAATTTCAGGTACCATATTTATTACTAGATTTAGCATAATTTAGCCAATAAATACCTATATAAATTAAAAAATAAAAATTGAACAATTTTTCTTTCCAAATGGGACATGAGAGATACATAAATAATGTTAAAAGAAAAAAAGAAAGAAAAAAAGTTAACCCATCTGGGGATTGAACCCACTGGCCTCATTTTCAATGTAGTTAACAGTAGTTCTAGCCTATTTGAATACTCTTCAAAGCGGAGGTAATGCATTAGGATGGTAATACCTTAAATAATTAATGTAAAATTATAGTAAACTGTAATACTTAAAAACAAAAAAGTATTCCTTTAACAGATATAAATATATATAAATCAACATATAAAATTTATAGGTACTTCCTGTTAAATGCGGAATAATTTTATGCTGAATTGTTTGCAAAAATGATTTTGTGAATAATTCTTAAATTAAGATTTTTGAATCAACTATCTTCTTTGTGAAAGTGTCTTAAACGTACAAAACATCTTTCGCCTGGAAATGAATATTAAAATATAATAACTTTCTAAATTTGACTATTTATCTGTTATAATCCTTTGTCATATTTAGTCACGGTCCCACATTTTTTCGTGCCAAATGGCAAATGGTGAGAAAAATGTGCTGCCTGACCGGGACTCAAACCAGGAAGCCTCGGAACACCTTTCCGGGACTCAAGCGACTAAGCTACACCGTTGCTTACACAATCTTATTAAAAAATTGAAACCCCCTAAGCTTTGAATGAATGTTTTGGCAAATCTTTTACACAAATTCAAAAGGTTAATGGCATTATGATAAATATCAAAACAGATATAAAGTATACAGATATATACTATATTTTATCTTTTTGTTTCAGATCATGCACTTCTTATATGCCTTGCTGTTTTCCCTTTCATTTTGTATTGGATGTATTGCAAAATTATGGAATTGCGAAAACTGGAGCATGCGCAGCCAAGTCAACTTAAAACGAACGATGTAAAAAGTAACGAAGTACCTGGACGTAAGAAAATGAAAACACTCGTGGTTTGACGTTAATAAAATAATTACGAATTTATGTTGGAAAGCTTGAGCAATGAGAAAAGACACTTGAAAGTAATATTCTAAACATAAAAAGCTAATTAATATCAGTTCGTGGATTTTGTCACACAAATATTTTAGAAGCATTTTGTAATATAACTTATTTATAAATAATACATGTACATAATGTCCTTTAAAAAAACTTTTCTCTATCTTCACTTATATTTTTCAAATTTACTTAATTTACATTTACGTTTTGTGTATGTTAAAATAATTATACTCAGCATTATATTTTTTTAATAAAATCTGTCAAGGTTTAATAGTTTCAGAAACGGATAAATAAAATGCCATACGCCACTTTTTGGAGGAATAAATTGTTTTTTTTACTGGCATGATAATTTCTAAAACAATTTGATATTATTTAATATTTCTTCAATATGATATGCTGTTATATTCAACTTGTGTCGCATGTAGCTCAAAAAGCATTTAACCTAGGGTCTTTAAACTTAAGAGGAATGTTAATCAGCATGTGTTTCGCTTGTTGATTAAACCAGTATTTAAAGAGTTATTGCCTTTGACTTAGTTAAAACCGTTTCATTATGTTGTGTTATTTGTTCCTTGTGTGCTTGAGTTAGAATCAATCAACTTTAGAGAACAATGATCAACATCACTGTTAAGCTATGCACCTGGGACCTGTCTTATCAACGATCGTACGACCGTTTTTATCGTACGATTGTTGTACGTCGATCGTACGATTTTGGTAGTGTCATATCAAACGTCGCAGATTTTCATAATCGTACGATTATCGTAAGATCGTGCATTTTTTCTACGATCGCTGAGAAGCAGTCGTAGATCAAACAAATTGCTGCCATGCTTCCTGTAAATGCTACAAGGCCGTAGAAAAAGTAGTTCACATTGTTTTTAAACTTTTTAATGATTACTTTGTAGATTGACTATGGATAGAAATCAAATAAGAATATGTTCTGATTTTTAATTTTGTTTTGAAATTTACTTTATTGTCCCCATTAAAATTCTGCTGATTAAAGTAAACAAAACTTATATTAGACATTTTATCTTAAATTCATAAAAGTTAATACAAATCAAGCACAGCTTGTCAAAAAATCTTTTTAATATCACTATTTTTTTTTAAATTTATATCATCTTAATAAAAAAAATCATAAAAAAATATTTCTATTCTTTAAAATTCTAATCTATTATCAAATATTTATACCTACAAATCTCTAATATCTTAAAATTTTGATCTTAAACATATGACTATTGTATAAAAACCAACACAAATTTAAATATCAAAACATGTTTCGCTTTATTAAGTTGATACACAAAGGAAATGACGTAAACGTAAAAAACAATAGACGTCACATTTGGCGCGTAAAAGAAACGTTATAATATTTCAATAAGATTAAACGTTTATTACATACTTATAAATGAGATATTGAGAACTATAGATGAAATTAAATGCGTATTTTCATTTTCCGTATTTTCACTGTAAAAATTTATTTTTCACTGCAGTGAAACATATTTTCCGTATTTTCCACACGATGAAAATAATTCATGTTATAGAAAAAAAAACATGAATATCCTCAATCTATTACTGTTTAATACAACTAAATATGTATGTATAAACGTATTTTTTTTAACATATCATATATAATTTTCGATAAGAATAACATAAAATAACTGGATCAAAAGATACATATATTTTCATAGAGAAACTAGGCTAGTAAATAATTACAACAAGTATGAAAATAACAAGGGAGAATATTGAAATATTAAAAAGGGGGATAATAATTTAGATAATAATTTAAAAACATCGTTATCAATCAGTATATCTTATACAACTTATCAAATAAAATGAAAATGATTTATCTATTATCTACTTAAGTTATGGTATTATGCTCAAAATTAATTTATGTTATATGAAAAAATCAAAAATCATATGAATACATTATGAATAATGTAACAATCAAAATATCATTGAATAAAGGGAGGTAATTAAAAACTTATATCATTGACATAAATAATGTATTTGTATAGATTTAAATAAGTTAATAACATTTCTATATTATTAACATTGCTACACAAAATTTAGAATAAGCTAAAAGTGAGATCATGGCTTTACACCGTATCCCAACAAGGAAGGGTGGAATTCGACCAGTGCTTATGAAAACCATGAATACCAATGTTAAGTCCAAATTGATGAAAAAAGGAAAGAAATGAAAAAGATTGGCCATAGACTGGTAGATGATGTCACATCAGCCAACACTGGTTTGATCAACCGCCTACAACTACATTCTGATATAGAAAGTGCTTGGTACTTTAATGGTTCTGTCTATGGAATGACACACACCAAAAATCGCATTAAGTTTGACTTATATGACAACATAAATGAAGCTATTGCTGCATCCAAAGCCCATTCCAACAGTGGAAGGAGATAAAGTGAACTCAAACAGACAGGTATAAACATTGAATATTCTGAAACATTTCTGTTTGTTCTGATGTGTTTGTTTTCTGTCTGTTTGAACATGTTTTTCTTTGTTTTGTTTTTTCTTTCTTAAAAGAAAACAATAATGTAGTTTGTTATTGAATCCTTAGAATTAATATTTATTTTCTAAAGACCATTTAACTATTTCTATGGTCCCTTACAAATTTCATTCTAGTGTTTTTTTAGTTTTTTGTTTTTGTTTTTCTTATACATGTGAAGCAAGATTAATCCTACTTTTGGGAAAACCCAGGTAAGCTTAAATGCATAAAATATAGTGCTATTTTTAGAACAATCTAGGTTTTCCAATAAATTTACAGCTATATCCAATTATAGAGTACTCTGCTTTTATAAATCAGTGACTTGGTATGTACTGTGTTTTTTTGGGTGAAAGATTGAACATTAATTCATTTTTGTTACAATGCTGCTTATTTTTGTTTTGTTAATATATCATTTTACTTGTATGTTGTTGAGGCTTGAAGTGTTGTTATATTTGGTTTATATAATACTAGTTAGTCAAATTTAGTTGTTACTTGAATTGTATTAATAGACGGAAAGGTATAAATGAATCAATATGCAACGGGTAGTCTCAAAATTTTCTGTTACAATTGCCGTGGTTTAAATGATAGTATTAAAAGACGTGATGTGTTAAATCTTTTTCAAACTAAAGAAGCTGATATACTTTGTCTGCAAGAAACCCATTTTATAAAAGATATAGAAAAGAAAATTTATTCTGAGTGGAATGGTTTATGCTATTTTAGTCATGGACAATCAAATGCCAAGGGTGTAGCAATTTTATTTAGAAAGAATTTAAATATTAAAATTAATTCAGTTAAAACTGATGATAATGGATGTTATATAATTTTACAGGTATTGTTTGACTCTTCAACTTTTATATTAGTCAATTTTTTTGCACCTAACATAGATAGTCCAAATTTTTTTAAAAGTATTTTTGATGATATTGATACCTTTAATGAGAACGACTCCCTAATAATTTGTGGAAAACTTTAACCTAGTACAAAATCTTGAAATAGATAATCATAATTATAAATCAAGAAATAATAATATTAAGGCTAGGAATGTTTTACAAGATATTATTGAAGAAAAAAAACTTGTTGACCCATTTAGAGAGTAATACATGGTGATGTCAAAAAATATACATGGCGACGCACAAATCCTATACAGCAAGGTAGACTAGATTTTTATTTGTTTGGGTCGTCAGACCAAACAAATAATGGTAGCGAAATTTCAGAGTCTGATGTTCTTAATTGCAAATGCCGAAAGTAGTCCACTTTTTTGAAGTGGTTACTTCCCTTTTGTATGTACACTAAAGCCGAAAAATTCAGGGGAGATCACTGCGTAAAGATGGTCAAAGACAGGCGCATCAATTTTCAAGCAAAGTAATTCCCGAATGGTCGAAGATTTCTAATATTGTTTTATTGTATTTTCTGATCGAAAATAACTAAATACAAAGCGGACATTCAATCTCTGACACAGAAGTTTACGACAAACCTAACAACAAGTAGTTCTCAAAACAGCTTAAAACTAGCGATTTAAAAGAAAGAAATATTTTATTTTGTTACAAGTATCCAACAAATTACAACGCATTTAAAGTTAAACAATAGCGTTGGCTTATAGAATTGTCAATAAATGCACAATCACAAATTACGAGGATGAATATGATTTTATCAATGAAAATACTATTTTTAGCCATGTAGATTACCGAATACTACACAAACCGAGTAGTGGAATATATAGATTCTACATGTCGGACTGTTTGGGCGAGAGAATTTTGCTAAAATATTTACTTCAATTTTAAACAACAGGTTTACCCTGAACAAAATACCTCGAAATTAATAAGGATTACAAACCTGAATGCAATGGAAGTTCTAAATTTAGAATGACTTGATATTATTCAGACTTTCTGTGTATAACTTCTCCGTGGTACAGTGGTAATGCGCTCGCTTAGTGAGTGAGAGGTCTCGAGTTCGAATCTCAGTCGAGGAATTTTTTTTTTGTTAAATTCTTTTTTTAAGTGTTTTTGTTAAGGAAGTAGCCATGATTTACAAGGATAAGTGTGGCTGTCGTAAAAAAAGTACATAAATGATTTTTTGATGCAACTCTAGTTATGCAGAATTCCGTATGTGCCTTACAAAATGAATTATAATACATAAAAATAAACTTATACAGGAAAATGCATACAGATATACAGTACGATTTAGATTGCAAAGATCAGAAAATACCACAGAACTTGCAGCCCTTTGATTCTTTATAAATATACATGCTTATAGTAAGCTTCAGGATTATTTACATCTGTGTTAAACAACAGTTAAAAGTCGTTACAAGCCCTAATTTAGAATAATATGGTTTTCTTCAGGCCGATCACATATAAATTTAACCGTGGCTGAAGGGTTTTCGGGCTCGCTTAGGAAGCGAGAGGTCTGGAGTTCAAATCCCAGTAAAGGTAACTCATTTTTTTAAATTGTTAAAGTCAAATAAACATTGGATTGAATATCAGTGTTGCAATTAGTCTTATAGCCAATTTACTACAATTAAAACGCTGGAAAGCATTGGTGGCACTAAACATATATAATCTCACAACCTGCACCTTTCTTACATTCTGAGACCCAAACAAATTCAGCGCCTTCTGTGCTTTGATTTTCTATTGTCAAGTGATTTGTATCAATATGTAAGAAAATGTGATATTGATATTAGCTATAAGTCTGACCATTCAATAATATATTTAGATATTTGTTTTGTTCATGTGACTCATGGAAAAGGTTTATGGAAATTTAACAATGCTCTTTTACAGGATATTGAATTTTTGAATATTATTAATAAGAAAATAAATGAAGTAAAATTACAATATTGTTTACCAGTATATAATATTGATTATGTGTTGGATATAAAAAATAATGACATAGACTTTGTTATTTCTGATGATCTTTTTTAAGAAACGCTTCTTATGGAAATAAGGGGTAAAACCATTTCTTATAGCTCTTTTAAGGTCAAAGAAAGAAATATTTTTGAAAAACAACTTATGGAGGAAATTATTTATATTGAGCAAAATTTAACAGATGACAATAAAGAAAAGCTTTTACATTTACAGAATGAGCTAAATGAGTTAAGATCCAACAAAATAAGAGGAGCTATGATTAGGTCAAGGTCAAAATGGATAGAATGTGGAGAAAACCTTCAAATTATTTTTTAAATTTAGAGAAATCACATTGCACAGAAAAAGTTATACCTTTTATAGAAATAGATGATGGAACATTTATTTATGACCAAAAGGATATATTAGAAAAAACTTGTTCATGTTATGAAAATTTATATAATGAGGTAAATTAACTTCAGAATCAAACATTGATAGCGAACTAAGAAATTGTGTAGTTACTAAGTTAATGATGAATCATTTAATCTTGAAGGTTTACTCTCATATGATGAAGTTTCTTTAACATTAAAAAATATGAAAAATGATAAAAGCCCGGGTTGTGATGGCTTTACAATAAATTTTTTTAAAACATTTTGGAACAGAATTGGATATTTTGTAGTTAGGGCTATAAATTATGCTTATAATGTAAATACTTTTTCAAGAAATCAAAAACTAGGGACAATCACATGTATTCCAAATGAAAATAAAGCAAAACAATTTTTGAAAAACTGGAGACCAATAACTTTATTAAATGTTGTTTATAAATTGGCATCTGGTAGTATAGCAAATAGAATTAAAGGTGTTTTAGATATTTTAGTGTCAAAAGATCAAACTGGATTTGTTAAAAATAGATATATTGGAGAAAATACTAGATTATTGTATGATATAATGAAATATACTGAAGATAATAATATACCTGGTTTAATTATGATGATCGATTTTGAAAAAGCCTTTGATACATTATCTTTTAAATTTATAGAAAAATGTATTTTACTGTTTAACTTTGGTCCTATGTTAAGGAAATGGATATCATTATTTTTATATAATACTGAAACTTGTGTTATTCTAAATGGTTTTTTATCTATGTTCTTCAAAGTTAAACGAGGCTGTAGGCAAGGTGATCCAATTTCACCGTATA